AAATCCTGAAAAAAATACTAGCAAATCGAATCCAGCAATACATCAAAAAAATTATTCTTCATGATGAGGTGGGATTCATCCCAGGTTTGCAAGGCTGGTACAATATTTGCAAATCAATAAATATGATATACCACATAAATAAAATGAAGAATAAAAACCACATGGTCATATCAATAGATGCTAAAAAAGCATTTGACAAAATCCAGCATCCATTTCTGATAAAAATGCTCAGCAATGTGGGAATAGAGGGATCATATCTCAACATAATAAAGGCCATATATCAAAGACCTACAGCCAACATCATACTCAATGGGCAGAAACTAAAAGCATTTCCCTTAAGTACAGGAACAAGGCAGGTATGCCCACTTTTGCCACTCTTATTTAACATAGTACTGGAAGTCTTAGCCATAGCAATCAGACATGAAGAAAAAGTAAAAAGGATCCAAACTATAAAGGAGAAAGTGAAAATGTCATTATTTGCATATGACATAATACTATACATAGAAAACCCCAAAGATTCCATCAAAAATCTACTAGACTTAATAAATGTATTTGGCAAAGTAGCAGTATACAAAATTAACGTCAAGAAATGGACAGCATTCTTATACACCAATGATGAAGTCACAGAGAGAGAAACTGAAAAAACAATCCCATTTTTCATCGCAGCAAAAAAATTAAGATACCTAGGAATAAACTTAACCAAAGAGGTAAAGGACCTATTTGCAGAAAACTACAGGACATTGAAAAAAGAAATAGAGGAAGATATAAAACAGTGGAAGCACATACCTTGTTCATGGATTGGAGGAATTAGCATCATTAAAATGTCCATATTACCCAAAGAAATCTATAAATTCAATGCAATCCCCATCACAATACCAACAACATATTTCACAGAACCAGAACAAATACTTCAAAAGTTCATATGGAACCAAAAAAGACCTCAAATAGCCACAGCAATCTTGGAAAAGAAGGACAAAGATGGTGGGATCACACTACCAGATATCAGGTTGTACTACAAAGCTACTGTAATCAAAACAGCTTGGTACTGGCACAAGAACAGGCATATAGGCCGGGGGAATAGAACAGAGAACCCAGAAATGGACCCAAGACATTATGCTCAATTAATATTTGACCAAGGAGGCAAGAGCATACAATGGAGTAAAGACTGCCTCTTTAATAAATGGTGTTGGGAAAATGGGACAGCTACATGCAAACAAGAAAATGAAACTAGACTATCAACTTACACCATATACAAAAATAAGCTCAAAATGGATAAAACTTAAATATGACCCGTGAATCCATAAAAATCCTAGAAGAAACTGTAGGCAACAAAATTGCAGACATCATACGCAGCAGAATTTTTACTGATACATCACCTAAGGCAGCAGAAACAAAGGAGAAAATGAACACATGGGACTACATCAAACTAAAAAGCTTCTGTACAGCAAAAGAAACAACCATCAAAATGAAAAGGCAACCCACTGTATAGGAGAGCATCATTGCCAATGATACATCAGATAAGGGGTTAATTTCCAAAATACATAGAGTGCTCATACAACTCAACAAAAGGAAGACAAAGGACCCAATTAAAAAATGGGCAGAGAACCTAAATTGACACCTCTCCAAACAGGACTTACAAATGGCCAAGAGACATATGAAGACATGCTCAACATCACTAATCATCAGAGAGATGCAAATTAAAACAACAATGAGGTGTCACCTCACCCCTGTCAGAATGGCCGCTATCAACAAATTATCAAACAAGTGTTGGCGAGGGTGTGAAGAACAGGGGACGCTAGTACACTGCTGGTGGAAATGCAGACTGGTGCAGCCACTATGGAAAACACCATGGTGTTAGCTCAAAAAATTAAAAATTTAATTGCCATTTGACCTAGTGATCACACTCTAGGAATATACCCTAAGAAGCCTGAAACACCAATCAGAAAGAATATATGTACCCCCATGTTCATAGCAGCACTATTGACAATAGTTAAGATCTGGAAACAGCCCAAGTGTTCATCAGTAGATGAATGGATAAAAAAAAGCAGTGGTACATATACACAATGGCGTACTATGCAGCTGTAAGAAAGAAAGATCTCTTATCCTTTGAGACAACATGGAGGGACCTGGAGAGTATTATCCTAAGTGAAACAAGCCAATCAGAAAATGACAAATACCATATGATCTCACTCATTTGTGGAGTATATAAACATAACAGTCTGAGGAATAGGGTAAACCCAGAGACATGGAAGTAGGGTACAGATTGACATCTCTCAGAAGAGGGGGTGTTGGGAGGAGGGAAGGGATAAGCCACAGAACTTATATACATGTAGGCATAACCAATGAACCTGGACAACAAAGCCGGTGACGGGGTGAGGAGAATGTTGAGGATGGTGTCTATGGGATAAAAAAGAAGGAACATCAGTAACAAAAATAAAATAAAATAAATTAAAAATGTATCTTTATTGTTGAAAGTATTACAGATGTCCTCCTCTCCCTGCTCCCTAGTGGCACCCTCCTCCCCAATTCCGTCCTCCACCCTGCACCATCACCATACTGTTGTCTGTGTCCATTGCTTATGCATACATCCATATAATTTCTTTGAATTTCTTCCCACTCCCTTTTTCTCTCAGGTTTGTCAGTCTGTTCTCTACTTCTATGTCTCTGGATTTAGTTTTCGCAAAACAGAAAATAACAAGGAAGAATTTTATTAGGCTGTGGAATCAGAGAGAAAGGTGAACTCTAACCTCCTTGTCGTTGAGCCTCAGGAAATCATGGAACTAAAGACTTGATGGTTCTTCGGAATTTTTTACTTCTTTATTTATAACTTACTCTAAAATGCTTTTTATAGCATGAGATGACTTATCTGATGAAAAACATGACTTTGTAAAAAGTCTAAGGATTTCATCTTACTACTTACACAACAATGAAAGCATAAATTCTTTTCATAATTTTATTTTGGAAAATCCTAGATTTGGAGAGATAATACAATATCAGCTTCTATAAGAAATAATAGTTTTGAAGAAGAAGAAGAGATTCTCAAAAGAAGGAAGTAGGTGCTGCTTCTATAAGCATAGTGGAGTACAGGGTAGGAAACACTATCCATTAAAGATAGACTATTTCACAGGAGTACAATTAATACTGGCCTTGGAATTAGAATATATGAATTTAAATCATAGCGATGGTATTTATAAATTTTATGTTCTTGGGTAACCTATTTAAATTATTTACCTTCAGCTTTTCCTTGTATAAATTAGTGATAATAATGCCTACCTCATGATATTATTGTGAATAAAATAAGTTGTGGAGAGACTAGAAGTTGAGGGATATATGCTTGATTTCATAGATAATTGAAAACAGAACAGAATGTATCATTACACTCATACTCATATGCAATATATAGTATCCAGACTACATTACTTGAATATCATAGAGGATAAAAGGATAAATAATGAGTAAAATAACAATGACTCTCTTTTTATAACCTTAGTCATTTTACAATTATATTTATTGATAATATAGAAAACAAATGAGAGTTGCTGGTTTCTTATGTTGAACCCCTTATAAGCAAAGCCTGAGACATGAATTTGGATGCATACAATTTATTAATGAATGCTCTCAGGGCACAGGGAATGAAGAAATGCAGGGGATACAGGGAAGGAGATAAGCAAGGAAATACATGCTCCCATCTGGAGTTGAACGTCAGAAGGCAAGATGGTCTACAGCCTTCTTCCATGGGACCAGGGGCCATAATCTTGGTGAAGCAATTACAACTGGGTGGAAAACAAGTAACTTGAAGAAAGCTGCAAATGTGAGCAATGAACAGGCAACACTCACAGGACCAAGGGGTAGGTGTACAGTTCTTCCAAGTGATCTGGACAAAGTACCAATCAGTCAATAACATCTTCCATACAGTTCCACTTCCTGGCTCACTGGGTTCTTTTCTTTCTGTAATCAATATGTAATGAAGACATAGATTCCACTTTCTGAAGATATTTTAACTTGAGTCACAGGCCGTTTCCTAAATCATTAGACATTTTCAATCAAATAAAAATAATATCATTTTATTCCCTGGACATTCATGCTCTGTAAAATGGAGTCAGAATACATTAGAAAGTGATGATTGTTCCCAAAATATATGAAAACCTCTTCCTTAAGTGCCTTGGGCCTTTTCCATAGCAAAAGGAGGAAGAGGGGACTACCTTTTCCACCCACACAAACTAGTTAGTCCCTGGTAGATGCTCTGGAGATGGTACCAACATCAGAGCTGAAGATGGACATAGTAGGATAGTAATGAGGACAGAGATGCAGGGGATAATGACTATGTTTATTTCTTCTAATTTATTTATGGTTTCTCTTATCTCAATTTTTTTTGTTTTTTTTTTTTTGCCTTGGGAAATAAATAAGCTCATGAATCTTAGGATAAAGTAATAGTCATTTGATGGAGCGGGGGAGGAACAAATAGGGTGATTGCGATAACAATTACAACACCATTTAAGGAAGAATTCATACATTTTTTTTTCTGAGAAATTCTTGAGCTTCAGGGACCAAACATATAGGCACCCCCCAGTTTGTGTGAATATCTGTGGGGAAATTTGTGGGAGCTAGAGATTGGATTGAGTATAAATATACAAAACTTTGCTCCATTTCACCTAAACCAACTCATAATTTTATGCTTTTATAACTCTGTTTCTATATGCCACCTTTCCAATTCCAAACAAATACATGTTAGTTATATTATAGACATACCTGTAAACACATAAAGTATTATTATTACAAGAATTGAGTGGCAAACAGACAGAGATATTTAGTATATGGAATGTTTTTAATGCACAAACTATGTTAGGTCAAAGACCTGTGCTTAAGAACTAACGTACAACAATTTGTAGCTCTACTTTGACAATTATTTTACCAAGAAATATGATCATGGGTGGTTGATATGAAACTTCTTTGCTCCCCCATTACAAATCAGAATTCTTTCATGTTGTGTGAGGGGCCACGATGTCCAGAAATCAGGTGTGAATTATATGGGTAGTAAAAAGACGAAGAATGCCACTCTGGATCTGCGTGGTCTTGACACTAAAGATTATAGGATTCATTAGTGCAGGAAACCGAAAATAGACATAGCTCATAATGAGGTGGACACTATGTGGAGCCTCCTTCCCAAACCTATGATTAAAGACAATCCAATCACTGTGACATAGAAAACCAGAACACAACAGATATGGGACACACAAGTGTTGAGGGCCTTGGCCTGCTCCTCTCTGGAGGCAATGCTCAGGACACTCTTGAGTATCAGCACATAGGAGATGAGGATAATCAGAGAATCCAGCACAAATATTATACTACAAGCACAACTAGATATAGCCGATTGAAAGTGGCATCAGCACAGGCGAGTTTGATGATACCCTGATGAAGGCAGAATGCATGGGAAAGGACACAGGAAGGGCAATATGAAAAAAAATAGAGGGGTAAAATTGGGGGGACAACAGATACAAATCCTCTTGTCAGCACTACCAACCCAATTTTCACCACTCGTGTATTAGTGAGTATAGAGGTATATCTAAGAGGATAGCAAATGGCAATAAAATGATCATAGGCCATAGCAAGCAAAACACCACACTCTACAAAGGAAACTGAATGTATAAAGAAGGCTTGAGAAAAACAGGCTACATTTCCAATCTCCCTGTGGTCCAACAACAGCAGTCCCATCACTGAGGGCATTGTGGTTAAGGTCAGCCCGAGCTCTGTGGCTGCTAGCATGGTCAGGAAATAGTACATAGGCTCATGAAGATTGTGATCTTCCTTAATGAGAAGAAGGAGGGTGCCATTGCTGAAAACACCAAAGATGTAGACAAAAAAGAAGGATGTGGAAATCCAGTGGTGAGCTGCCTCCAAGCCTGGAAAACCTGTCAATAGGAAGAAACTGGAGCTGCTATTGGGCCACATGTTGGTTTCATCCAGAAGACATGTTCTTTTTTTCTCAGTTATTACCACAGAAATGTAGCACTATGTTCAAAGTAGCACTCCAAATATCTCATCCTAGAATTCTTACTGAAAGGTAATAATAACATCAATATAAGCCATTTTTTCTCAAAACATTTTTTTTTTCCTTTATTGACTTTAGAGAGAGCGGTTTGGACACAGAAAGAGATAGATAGAAACATCAGTGAGAGAGAACATCGATTGGCCGCCTCGTGCACGACCCCCATTGGGGATCTAGCCCACAACCTGGGCATGTGCCCTGACCGGGAATCGAACCAGCGACCTCTTGGTACATGGGTTGACGCTCAACCACTGAGCCACACTGGCTGGGCTCAAAACATATTCTTAGGACAACTTGTATCTTTTGTGTTTTTAACTGCAGATTCCAGGGACCATCTTCTACCTATCAAATTCTTGGAGTTTCATAGGGTCATCTGCATTTTAACAAGCTTCACAGAAAATTTTTTATGCACACTACAACTGAGAAACCACTCCCATCAACTATGCACTTCACAGAAGAATCCAAACACGAGTAATTTCAAGGAACCCAACCCTTATCTAACTCAAGTCTACTACCCAATGCTATAATTAATTTCACAGTAGTGATTCCTAACCACATTATCTTGCATATGCATGATTTCTTTGGATTCTCAACCAAATATCCAGGAGTCTAAGAGTAAAGTGTGGGAAGAGAAGTTGAGTCACTCACTGCCACTGTTGCTAAGAAGAGATTTTATATATATATATATATATATATATATATATATATATATATATGAAGGAGACAATTCGCTTTCTAATTGCATAGATTAGTGATGGAAAAAGAAAACAAAAATGTTTAAATTAGGTGTTTATTAGCTTCTTCCTGGACATGGCAGAACTATTTAGTCCTCACTACAATAGCCACAAATAATTAGAAATTAGATGACCATAGACACTTGGGCTGAAATAAATGCTTAGGCCAGCCAAAGACATGGCTCATAATAGTTTCTCCTTCAATTTGAAAAAACAATAAAGAAAGAAAAAAACTTCTCTTATTTTTATAGAGTTTCTTTGTCTTTCTTCATTATTTTTCTGTAGGTCCACTAGAGTAACTCCTCAGAAACTGATTTCTTCTTTTTGAATTCTCCATATGCATTTAAACAACCATCTTCCTGATCTCCTTCCTTGTATATTCAGCCATAGGTTTCTGAATCTGTCCTATCCAATATTAAATGACAGCTGTGTTGCTACTTATACAGAAAGGTGTCTGGTAGTGGAGGGAACCATTTAAGAGGGTATTAACATCTCTTATGCCACTGGATGATGAGTTTCTTGCATAGAGAAATCACTTTTTTTTTTTATCCTCACCCGAGGACATTTTTCCATTTTTTTATTCAGATAGAGTGGGAGGGAGAGAGAGGAAGAGAGAGAGAAACATCAATGTGAAAGGAACACATCGAGTGGCTGCCACCCACACGACCCAACCAGGGCCGGGGACACACTGAAACCAAAGTACATGCCCTTAGCGGGAACCGAACCCGGGTCTCTCTGGACCAAAGGCCGATGCTCTAACTACTGAGCAAAACTGTCCAGGGCTAGAAATCACATTTTATTTGCCTTGCTCAACACCTAGCAAATAACCTACACACACACACACACACACACACACACACACACACACACTACATATATACTTCCATTATGTATATACATATATGCATATAGAAATGTACATATATACCTATATGTACATACACATATATATACAATTACACATAGATACATTAATTTACCCAATTTTAAAATTTTTTCAATGATTTCTAAATAGACAGAAAGAGAGAGAGAGAGAGACATTGATGAGAGAAAAACATCGATTAGTTGCCTCCTACACACCCCCTATTGGGGAACAAGCCTGCAACCCTTTCATGTGCCCTGACCAGGAACCAAACCAATGACCTCTTGATGCGTGAGACGATGGTCAACCCAAAGATCCACACCAGCCCGGCTAATTTACCCAATATTTTGGAGCACTCACTGTGATAGGCATGACATTCTAAGCATGAATTTAATGATAAGACAAAGTCTCTGAATTTATCAGCCAAAAATTGAGTTAGAAAATAAATTTTAAAATTAGATGAATAGAAGTGCAATTTTAAAATAATTGAGATTTTATTTCATACAGTTTAGTATCATCGTTTGGATGATCTGGGACTGCATCTCTGAGAAGCTGACATTTGACCTGAAACCTGAATAACAAAGAAGAGCTGGCCATATGAACACCTAGAAAAAGATTGTTCCATTGAGAGGGGAAAATTGGCATGTGTGGAGCTTGGTCCAGACAGTAGGACTAACTACAGGTTATGTCAGAGACTCAGGCAGTTGTCTCATAAGCCTAATAGATAACATGAGAAATTTTGTTTTTACTAGAAATGTGATGAGAAGACATTGAAGAGTTTAAAAATCACAGTAGAGGAGAGAGTGGCGACATTTTGATTTTCATTTTAAAACGATCACTTAGACTGCTATGTAAAGAGTGGCTAATGAACAAGGTAAAAGAAAGAAAAGCAGTTGGAAGTTATTGTAACATTCCCGGTGATGATGACTTGACTAGGAAAGCAGCAGGGGAAATGAAGACAATTAAACAGAAAAGGATACATCTGAGGTACTGCCACGGCTTGCCCATATGTTGGAAATAGGAATGAGAGGAATACTACATGAGATTGACTATAGATTTCTGGTTTGAGCAAATGAGAGAATGGTTAAGTCATTTTCTCAAAAGGGGAAATCTGAAGGAAATACATATTTACTGGGGAGAAAATCAAGAGTCATTGGTATATACTTGTACTAATTTGAACAGTTTTTCTGAGCCTTTTTTCCCCCTGAAATTAAAGAATTTGAATATAATTTTTGAAGTTATCTTGCACCTGTATAAATGGGATCTGGCTGCAAGTTTTTAGCAGCGCTGAGGTGCCAGACATCTGATCATTAAGGGAAGATTCAGAACTTTTAACCTGATCCTAAAGGAAGGAAAATTGACAGAATCACTTCTTTGTCTCCAAATTCTGTTCCCCGGAGTAAAACACATAAGCCAAAGTGTAGCACTTATTAAAAATATGAATAATATTTATTATTTAGACACTATATGCAAAGATAATCCCACATAACTGCTTCTGTTCTTATGTTCTTGAAGTATTACTTCATGCCCTGGCAGGTATATCTCAACTGGTAGAAATGTTGTCCCATGCACTAAAAGGTTATGGGTTCAATTTCCAGTCAGGACACATACCTGGGTTGCATGGTTAATACCTAGCCTGATTGGGGGATGTGTGCGAGGCAACCAATAGATGTTTCTCTTTCTCTCCTCCCTCCCCTTTCCCTCTCTAAAAATCAATAAAAATGTCCTCAGGTGAGGATTAAAAAAAAATACTACTTCATTCTCCTTACTTCTTTGACCTGTCAGCAGTGACCTTTAACCTAAACTCTTAATGCAAGTCTGTGAACAATTTTCTCTTGTAAAATGAAATGTAGCACAAATAGTAAATTACTACAGAGAAAGCACCCAAAGTGGAAGGGATCAGTTCTATGTTGCCAATAACCATCAACTCCATTTCTTCTTTTTCATTCCCAAGAATTCCATGCAAATCTACCTGTATACTTCATGCTCTGGGAAATTCATATGTCTTCAACTAGGAGCTTCTCTTGTTTTTTAAGAAGAACCTTTATGGAGGAGAAATAGCTGAGGAAAAACCATAACAAAGGAAAAGAGGTTATGAAGGTTGAGGATAGAACAAAGAGAAAGAACATATTGTTGAGTATGTCAAAATTCAGATAACTTTCCAACATTTACATTATGACCTCTTTGTCTCATTTAAATGTATTATGGAATAGGAAGTCCCTCTGTGTTTATCCCCTAAAAAGTATAGGCAACATATGGGAGGGCCAACCATATTCATACCATGGGGAAAGGCATCTTCCATACTCATGCCCAAATCTCTTTCCAAATGTTACCAACTTCAAACTGAGATCTGTTCACTCACCAAGATCCTTCCCTTTTTCTTCTCCTGTCTTCTCTCTAGACAGCTTATACAAGAGTCTCCTAATGCCCTCTTTCTGCATTTCTGGATGTTTTCCCATGCTTACATTCACTAAAGCTTGTTAGGAAGGAGGAGCGGAGTCCCTGGGTCCTGCCTAAAAAGAATCAGAGCACATGGTTCTTTCTCAAAGTTGGGGAGGTTATTAAATGCACAAAGCGTCTCCTCAGAGATTTTTGTTTTCCAGTCAACTGGAATCTTAAGAGACATGTCTTTATCTGAATGCTTTCTGTGAAGGAAATGAAACAATTAATCTCCTCAAGGTCTTAAAGCATCTTCTCCAAATAAGGTATGGAGCTTATAGAGTCTTGGGTGGCAGCTTTCTGTGTGAGGAATTAGGGCATGTGTCTCTATGGCCTCAGGAGACCCTGGATAGCCTATGGGAGGCCATTTATCCTCCACATCTACTTCAAAGGTCAAACATTTTCCAGTTGCACTCTTGAAAACATTAAGATTCTTTTTTTTTTTTTTTTGCTACATGTCTTTTGAATCTTTTAAATTCTATTTTCTCCTTAGTTTATCTCAAAATTAGCTGAAGAGTGGAAAGTCAAATGGCCTAGAGTCAATACAGTAAAAGCCTGTCAACCTCCCCTAGTATCAAGCATGAACCCAAAATCTACAGCTCACACCATTACTTTATTGAGTTTATCTTGCTGGAATTTTTGTTTCTTTTTTTTCCCCCCCTAGAAATGCAGTCAACATACTTACAGCACAGTGCTTCAAGCAATCAAACCCTTTACGGATTGTAATATCTATAGTTTTCCTTTCAACACTGATAGGTATCACCCTGCCTATTACTGGTTTTAGGTGAAAATGAACATCTTATCAGAACAAATTTCCTGTCCCTGAAAACATATTTTGGTTGTTACCAAGCTTTGTTATAATTAAAGT